ATAAAGTGTCTGACTTACTACCGCGGCTGAATATGCCGCGGTTCAAGAACCGCGACGTATAGTGAAAATGAACCGCGGTAAAAGCCCTTCGCTGCACTAGTGTCATTTACTTCCAAATTCATTCAAATAAACGACAAAAAAAATTATCTTCAAATCCTCTCAAATCCCCTCAAATCCACTCTCTCAAATCCACTCAAAACAACAATACCTTAAGAAACCAAATTTGCATCTTGTCATTGAACTTTGTCTTGAGTCTTGTATCTCTCATGTATGACCTTTTAGTCGATTTTCTCATAGTAGTATTAATGAAGATTATTTGATGGCTTTGATCTTCTTTCTACATTGTGTTCTCAATTATATTTTGTGATGTGACTTAATAATAATAGTTTATCAAAATAAGATATTACCTTTTATGATTAAAACCAGAACCAGTTTAAACTCTTTGTTTATGAAAATTTAAAGTGCATTTAATTAGGCTATATTTTGATAACAACATTTAAATCTAATTATATAGTTATCATATTGCTTTAAATTGTCTAACTATGTAAAATGTTTGCACATAAATATTAAGCATTATATTAATATATGTCAATATATATATATATATATATATATATATATATATATATGTGTGTGTGTGTGTAAGATAAGATATATAAAAGAATAATCACTTTAATTTTTAATGTATGTTTGTTGTCAACAAAATTTTATATATAAGAGGTTGTTTAGTTTTTCTTTTTATATATTATATAACGATTAGACTATTTTGATCTTAATAGGGATCCTGCAAGATGTTTTAAATAGTAATCGGGGGTAGAAACTTTTATATTTATTATCACTTTTAATTATTGTTACATTTACATAGTAATTGATGTAGAAACTCTTTTACATCTAGTATCACTTTAATAATTGTTTGAATGCTAGTTTCTACAATAATCACTACATATACTGTAGTAAACTTATAAATATACACATTTTCCACAACATTTTTTCTATAACGGTTGCTAAATTACTAATTTAAAAGGTTGTCATGGACTTGCATTTTAGTACTTTTTGTAGAATAATGCAAAATGGAAAACTAAATCCTATTATAATATTGAATTATAATATAACTTATTTTAGAATAAATAAAAATTTAAAAAATTTTAATAATTGATTTTAAAGATAAAAAATAATTAGTCATGATTAATATAGATATTAATTATAAACTAAAAATTATTAGTCTCTAAAAATCACTATTATGAATAAAAAATTATAATTAGTAATTAATTAAACTTTAAATTGATCATTAATATTAACTATTAAGATTTTAATTATAAAAAAATTAATGTCTAATTAGTTACTAATATAATGTTTTATTGATAGTAGTGATTATTTTAAAGAAAATATTTTTAGTTTATAAATTGGTTATTATAATGATTAATTATTTTTTGTTTTTAAAATTAGTCATTATTTAAGATTTTTTTTTTCTAAGATATGATTATTTATCAAATATAAATTTGAAAATTATTATATGTTATTCTCTTAACTTTTTTATTTTAATCTAATAAAAAAAAAGTAGATTTACTGTTTTAAATGTATGCCTGGACTGATTTTTAGAGTAAGTTCAAATTATTAATTATAAGAATTTAACTGCGTACATAATTAATGTTTTATAGATCTTCAGTATTGCTACTAAAGTATTTTATATTTAAAAATATTCATTTTTATATGAATTATTTAAAAATAATATTTAAATACTTTTTATCCATGAATTGATCAATTAACTGTATGAAAACTAAACCCTAAGCATACACGATCTCACATATTATTTAAGCTGTTAAGTTGACTGTTACGAGTTACTCAAATAGAAGCAAATTTGTTCCTAAATCCGTAGAATTATATTCAACTTGAACGACTACAATACTCACCAAAAGTAGTAAAAAAAAGTTATGATCATACTACAATAATCGTATGTGATTTCTTTCAATTTTCAGTTGAATATGTGATAAGCACATTGCCCTACCAAAATCAAATCCTGCATCCTCATTGATTGAAATGAAAGGCAAGAATAGTATTCAACACTGTTTTCGCAGATCAACATCAACCTCACAATCCTTCAAAAAAATCCATCCAGTTGAATCGCTCACCCCCTTCCACTCTATTTCTTCTTTTTTTCTTTTTCATTTTTGTATTTAGCTTTTTCCCTCTATTGGTCATTTTCTGTATTTTTCAAGCAATAACTAGCTACACCAAGCCACACATTATTAGAATCCCACGATAAAAAAGACACGTACCTTTGTCACTTACCATACAAATCAAGAGTCTCCAAGTGGGTGACGTGTGAACTGATTTCCCACCCATTACATTGCTTTTTTTCACCCACCACTCTCCAAAATCTTCTTTCCACACACACAAGATTGCAGTACACAAACTAAGAACACCACCATTACCACAGCCATAGCACACAGAATCACCAAAACAGCCACAACAAAAACACTCTCTTACATTGTATGCTATGTCCCTTTTCTGCACGAAAGAGAAAACCATTCTGATGTCTCAGCCCTCTTACTCAACTGAATCTGACAACCAGATTCCTCCTCATCAGCCATCAAAACCGAAGAAACCCCTCCCCCCCGATGACAGAAAGATGGGCCAAGAACACCAAGAGAAGAGTGACAAAACTTCTAAACCCCACGAGAAGAAGATGGAAACTGCACTGGACAGTGTTGCTGAAGGAAAAACCGTTGAAGGTGAAGCTAGTGGTCGTGATAGGTTGAAGAGGCATAGAGTTGAAGTTTCTGGGAGGGTTTGGATTCCTGAGATATGGGGTCAAGAGGATCTCTTGAAGGATTGGATTGACTGCACAGCATTCGATGCTCCTTTGGTTCCGAGCAGAATAGTGATGGCACGAACGGCTTTGGTGGAAGAAGGTCGAAGGGCCACATCGGGTGTGATAAGAATCGAGAACAGGTGTTGAATTCTTGTGGCTTATATAATTGGATTATTCAGTTCATTCAGTGAGAAGAACCATGTATTGTTATTGGTTATGATATGAATGTTTTGTTAATCCTTCATCCGTCATGATGTTTGTATTATCCGTTGTTTTGGATATGTAAACATTATTACATCCTGCGTTTTTTTTCTATTAACCGTTTGATAGATACATTACAAAAGTTAAATTCTAAAGCCACTTCCCAAATCCAGAACCTTAAACTAGTGTACAAATCACGTTAGTTCAATTATAATTCACCTATTTGTGTTTTGTTGAATTGTTTTCTTTTCCTTATATCTTTAGCTTCTACTAATTTGTTAAACCACGAGCTTTACCTTCTTATTTTTTCCACAATTTTCTAATTCATCATAGGTAATATTACCTTCATTTGTTTATTTATTTATTTGTTCCTATCAAAATAAATACTAGACTAATTAATAAGTTCTATGACTTGTTCTTTTCGACAAAATTTGATTGTGAATGATTTTAAAGCTTCCTATGCTTGATAAACGATGTTTATGTATAAACGATTGTGAATGTATCGTTTTGATTTAGGTAGTTGAGGGATTCAAGCCATACAGGGGCGATTTAAGAAAATATAAGCAAACAATCTATTCAACCTGAAATCAGTCTGTTTAAAGTTGTAATTCAAAAATCTTTACAATCACCAATGCGTCAAAATTACATATCAAAAAGGAGTTTTTTCCTAGATGTAATGACAATAATCAAGCTAAATAACGATGATTTATGTCAAGTATATGGTCATAATCGGTATAAATATTTGTTGTTGTTTTCTGAAAAATTTGTTTGTTTTGATATCAAACGAAAACTTGTAAAACAATTCCCCACAATTCGATACATAGTCGTTTACTACTTCAGACATACGATATAAAATAAAATATATATATTACATACTTAAAGTTTAAATGAAAGTATCTTATTTAACCCAAATAACCTAATATGTAACAATGACTAACCTAACTACTATGTTAGAGAAGATAGGTTTATACTGTTGTCTTAATTGTAATATATATCATCATAACACAATAAGGTTTTGATACTAAAAGATCTAAAATATTTTACTTATGATTTAATGACTTCCTAACAACTCAATACTTCTTCCGTAATGTATTTCTCATTATTAGAAACCGTAGTCTTAATTCTTCATTCTTCATATATGCTTTCAAACTTTTCATATATGTCTCTTAATAAAGTGAGTACTTTGATAACATTTTTATGTCATATAAATACTCACGAAATTTACTACTTTTTATTGGACATTTTATGACAAGTTGGAACAATTACGTGTGCTTTCCAATAACATGAACAATGCACATCGTAATCAATTCCAATAGAGGAGTAACCAATTATAGCCCTTTGTATTCGATTGCAAGACCTTCAAAACTTTACATGGAGTTGCGATGAACATTGCAATGACATGTCTAACCCAGTTTTGCATGGTGTAGGTGTTATGAAGGGAAGGTAGAGGTGGACGTGGTTGTTTTGGTGGTGAACATCTGAAGCAAACACTAGTGGTGGATCTTTGGTTCCCATAGGATGTGGTTGTCAAGGATAGTGGATGTTGTGAACCTGGTGAAGGAGGTGGATCTATTCTGAATCTGGTGGAGGAGGAGGATCTATGCTTGAAGGCGGTGTTTGTCAACGAGGTGTAGGTTAGTTTGTGGTTAGTGTGAGTGAAGTTTATTTGTGATAATTTTTTTATCTCATGTTGTATTTTGTGTAGGTATTAAAGTTGGGTTGGTGGTTGGTGGAAGTTAATTGCTTTTTGTATTTGGTTGTGGGTGGTAATCTAGCAATTTGGTGTAGTGGTTCTGGTCGAGGATTTGGTACTTGGTTGGTAGCATCTCGTGGTTGTTTCGTTAGACCTTTATTGGAGGATATTTTTTGGATTAGAGGTTCACTAGTACAGTCAAGAGAAACGACAGCGGTTATTTTCGTCCATAGACAGCGATTCTTTAACCGAGGCCTATATAGACGAGACAAAAAAGGGTAGGCTTTTTGCCTCAGTTCAGAACCGAAGCAAAAACAAGTAGGATTTTACCTCGATTCACAGGTAACCGAAACAGTAGAGTTTTTGTTTTTTTTAAGGACTTTTTTCCTCGGTTCCTTCTTAACCGAGACAGTACAACGTTTTCTTTTTTACTTTTTTGCTTTCTATATCTTAGGTCCAAATGGTGATAAAGCCTTTTTTACTTTTTTTACTTGCCTTTTTTACTTTTTTTACTTGTTTTACTTTTTTTAATATATGAGATCAAGCCTTTGTCCATCATCTCAAATGATGTAATTGGATCTTGAGCATGCTACGTATTGATTTGATTTGATAGGTTACAGGAAGTGTGTATATATGCGCATTCCTCTTAGATTTCAATAACTTATTATTAATTCTTGGATAATATGCAAAAAACAATTTAAAAAGATTTCTTAATTGTAGAAATATAACGAAAATGTGTCCAATATAAATGACTTAAATCATACCACAGATGAAGAAAGTAATAACATCACGCAAGTACGCAAGCATGGTTTGGATTCTATAAGCCATCATATAGTAATAACATTTCAATTGTCCTTGTGAAGTTAAGAAAAAAATTAATAAGTGATGGGATCACTCCTCTCTCGCTAATACCCAACTACCAAATACAGACATTAAACAAAAAATATTTATGCATTTTTAAGTTCTGCATCCAAACTAAATGGACTAAGAAATTCATGTCTACAGCAGAGAGTAAAAACATTTCCCGAATATGTCCAATATAATATTGCAAGGAAAACTAGCACCGGGGCTTCAAAATTTATGAGCCAGCCTGTCCAATCACATCATAATACCACAGTTCTCATTTCCCAGAGAAGCTAAGATGTAGACCAATTACCCAACTGTTGAGAAATAATCACAAGGACTTGCACAGTTGAATGAGAACCCATTTTACTTCACTCCATTTGAAGATGCAGGAGTTTACATTTCTCTTCTGTTTTGAATGGATTGTTCAACGATATACCTGTTATCATCATAACACCAACCATTATACAAAAAGAAAGGAGAACATATAACTAGAGGTTTGTTTGAGATAACCCAAACAACTCACTAATCATGGAGACCAGGATTTTTTATATAATAACTACTATTATTCTAAGTGTAGCCTGCAAAAATAAATAGCAACTACTCAATACTTCATCAAAAATTAAAAAGCTGATGAAGATTACAGGAAGTATATATCCACAAGTATAAAACTCTGCATTCATAACTTTGATTCCAGAACAACATATATGTATTAATATTACAAGTGATTCTATCATACACATCAGCCGCGGATTCTCCATCTGGAAATCCGTAGAAGAAACAACCATAAAGTTGTCGAAGTGCCTTTTCCACTCGCATCTTTTCTCTGTTTTGAAGATTCCCTTTTGAATCACCAAAAGTATATATATGTTCCTCTCCTATCTCTTAAGATTCTCATTATGCCTGATGATCATAGCCAGTCGGCAGCCATCCACAACGAACCTACCATGCGCCTCCGGCAACCATCACCGCAACTTAGCACCACCACTAATCATCTTCACCGTCAATGCCACCGTCATCAAACCCTAATTTGCACCACCACCATCAACACAGACGTGCAATCAGAAAAACCCCAATCAAAAGTCGTCACACTCATCTTCTTCACCAAAAACCTCCATTGACGCACCATCACGAAGCTTCGTTCATCACCACCCAGCGTCGTCGCCAACCTCCATGTTCGTCTCTATGGCGCAACCCCGTTCAACCTCCATTCATCATCATTAGGCAACTTCAACCTGCAAAATCAAACCAAACCCAAAAATAGACAAATCCCTAATCCCAATTCGCAAACCCTAACCCCCAAATTGCAAGAACAATTTGCATGCACAGAACCCCAACTTTAGGCCACCCATTTGTAGAGAAGAACAGAAACCCAGAATCCCAAAATCAAAAAACCCTTGCCGCGAAATCGCCTCCCTCCTTGCGAGACCAAACCAGCAACGAGAAGGGAAAGAGACTCTTTACAATACTGAAGACAAATAAATGATCATATATCTTTCAAAGTTTTTTATGTATCTGATTTTATGAAAAAAGAATCAGATATATAAGAAGGGAAAGAAAAGTCTAATAGAGTGATGTCGGACACAAATTTTTAATGTGACAAACTATCTATAAAAAATGTTTATAAAAACTTAGCATTTTAAAAGCTCACCATCTTTGGTAGAGCAAATTGTATAACATGAAATTTAAATAAGCTCAAGGAAAGGAAGATTTACATTATGAATATACACTTTGAATTAGTCACTTTTGGCTAAACATCTTTGAGTAATATTTGAACATTCAACCATACCTAGCTAAAATTCAAGTAACTATTGGCTAAAACCGAAACACTTTTTAGAATAACAACCACTTCTGGCCAACAACTTAAAGTATTATTTGAAACATAATCTCACTCCTAGCTAAAACTTGAGTATTTTTTGGAACACAACCACTTTTGGCTAAACCTTTAGTATTGTTTGGAACACAATCACTTATGGCTAAAACTTGAGTATTATTTGGAATGCATCACTCTTGGATAAAGGGTTTACAAGAAAAGGTTGGTATAAAAGATCGTAAGGTTTTGCTTGGTAGACAGAGAAACACGTCATTTAATTAATATAAGGTTTGACGATATTTTAGTGTGCTAAATGAAAATGAACATTGTTCCTATTAAGCTTATGGCATAAAAAGCTTTAAGTAAAATTAAAAGTTTTTTAACATATTTTAATCACTTATTATATGTCATTATTACTACAAGAAAATCATTAAATAACAACCAATTTAAAGGGAAAAAAGTTAGTCATTATATTGATTAAGTTAAACACCATTTTATAAACCAAAAGTTATTGGTATATAGAATAGTATCTATTATTAATACAAAATTATATTTGGTTTGTGAATTAGAGTATAAATTGGTGTCTAACATTCTCTACCAAGTTTATAGCTTCTTACTATTATTAGATTTTAGAATACTTCTTGTTTGTACAATTGGCTCTAGAGGAGGGGCTTTATTAAAGTCTGAACTCTTTTCATGGTGTTGAATAGAGTGAAAAATTTGTATGAGATTAATTTTTCTTGGG